AGTGCAGTAAACCAACCCAATACGGGGACTCAGCCTCCGTCATGTAGACTCTGAGCTAATGCAGCAGCATCTCTGATGATTAGAATTCCATTCAGACTTTCTGTTTCATTTTAGGAGTTTTTGTAAGTTCTGTTTTTCTAAGAAATTCACTATTTCATGTAAGGTTTCAGCTCTATTAACATAAGACTCTTAAGAGCATTTCCCCTTTTTAATTGATCTGTGCCGTATCAGTAGTTTTATTTTTGTCATTCCAAAAATTGTTTGTGCCTTTAAAAAAACAAAACAAGACAAAACAAAAACATGCCTGTGTTTATCTATTTTATTATCTCAAATCAACTCTTAGTTTTTTCATCTCCACTATGAAATCTGCTTCCAACTTCACTATGTGTCCCCCTTCTTATTCTTTTCTTCCCAATACCACTCCTAGATTCAAGTAAGAGGGTCCCTGCTCTGAACCACAAGCTTTTGAGGCCTGCATAGCACAATTAAAAATTAACAAAAATAAATTTATTAAAGATGATGTGGCTGTGACTGTCAATTTAGATACAACTGCCCTGTGATATACAATATGTTCATTATCATCCAGTCCCATTTTGTACTGTCCATTACAATTTCTTCTGTGACCCGGAAGTTATGTGGAATCACGCCTGCACATTTTCTGACGTACAGGGTGTTTAAGGAATCCTTGTGAGTGCTTACTCTTCTGCACACACTTCAGAATGATTTCATCCAAGGGGTGAAGGTCACGTGTGGAGGGCTGCTCCCAGCCTGCTGCACGCACTGGCAAAGCACGGCTCCCTCAGGCAAAGAGATGCCAGCAGTGGGAAGCTGGCCGGAGCGCACCGAAAGGGAAAGGTCGGAGGGGCACAGGTGGGCAATGACATCCTCTGCCACCATGATATTCACACTGCTGTGTGTACTCATTTCCCGTATACTCTTCCACTGTATTGTTCTGATCACCTCCTTTCTTTACACCAAAGACAACACCTAATAACATTGTTTGGCACATTACTTTTCGTCACCAAAAAGATCTTGGAGAGGTTCCCATAAGAGACACAAAAAGCTTCCTAATTCAGGTCAGAGCTGCATGATATTTCATTTCAGAATGTAACATAACTAAGTTAACCAGTTATGTCACTCCTTTATGAAAACGAGGCAACCACAGCTTCAAGGCCAGCTACCACTCTAATTTCCAGATCCTTCTTCAGATCCTCTCTTACTTTGCTCAGCTATGGACTTAAAAGGAAATCTGTTACACTTCATGAATCATTTCCAGATGTTTTAGACATGCTGGGTTTTCAGGTGTCTAGGTGGCTCTATTGTTCAAAATGGAAGTCTAATCCGTGCTCTGTCCAGCCTTCCATCAGCCATTTTTGGGACCCTAGGCACTTTGTCCTCATCCTGTCACCTCACGGTTGTAGACAGCACAACCACTGTCATACACAGGAAAGGAAAATGGCTTTCTCCTTCCATAACTAAAAGCAAAACAAAACAAACTTTTTTGGAAGAACCCCCAGAAGTCATCCACTTAAATCTAATTTGCCAAAACCTAGTGACTGTCTAGCACTAACCACGAGGAAAGCGGGGAAAACTGGGCAGAGAACGGGATCATAATGACAAACTCAGGTCAATCATGCTTCACTCCCAGGGGGTACTTAGCCACTCCAAAGAATAGTGTGATTAACAAGGAAGAAGGGCTGTCAAGTGGCCAATGATGAGAATCTGCCACAATACCTCAGATGGAATGAAGAATACAATTGTAAGCAGCTGAGAGTGAAAAATGATTTTCAGTAACAGTGATCGTTTCAGTTCAGTAAAGATACTGCACGAAGAAGAAAATACATACAGTATCTTCGATGCCTAGTCTAGGTATATCCGAGAAAGTCGAAATACCACTCTTGGGACAAATGACTCATACATTTCAGAACACAAAATTTAAGGCCCATCCTCAAAAACACTTTTCTGCATTCCACAGTTTCCAGAAGGCAAAACTCTAATATAACCAATGAAATAATAATTACCAACCACTTTTAAGAAAAATAACTTTTAGGGTTTTTGTAACCTCTGATAAAATTAAACAGCTCCAAATGTGAATCACGATGTATTCTTTCAGCTGTCAGGATAAAGCAGAATCAAACTGAGTAATTGGGATGAAGCATTTATTCCTTGAGTAATAAAATAATTTCTGGATAATAAGCTCACAACATTAATGACTACATGTACAGAAGCTGAGAAAAGTAACACATGTACCTACATTCAGGGTGTTTCTCATTAGACACAGTCCCTACCTGTTTAGAGTAATTTTGCATAGTAGGTAATAACGGTGCTTTATGAATTTTGAGGATTTCATTTGCCAAACAAATAGAGTAACTAAAAAACAAAAACTTTTCATATCTTTATTTTATTTTAGAGAGAGAGAGAGCATATGCTCAAGCAGGGAAGGAGTAAAGAGGGAGAGAGAAAGAGAGGGGGGGAGAGAGAGAGGGAGCAGGTGAGAGAGAGAGAAAGAGAGAGAGAGAGAGAGAGAGAGAGAGAGAGAGAGAGAATCCCAAGCAGGCTCCACGCCGAGTGCAGAGCTGAACATGGGCTCGATCTTACGATCTCAGCCACAACCTGAGCCAAAATCAAGAGTCCAACATCTAACTGACTGATTCACCTGGCTCTCCAAAAGTTACTTTGTGCTTTGTGTTTTTAAGAGAGAGAGAGAGAAAGAGAGAGAGAGAATCCTAAGCAGGCTCCGATGCTCAGCACAGAGCCCAACTCGGGGGGTGATCCCACGACCCTGGAATCATGACCTGAGTGGAAATCAAGAGTTAAACATTCACCTGACTGAGCCGCCCAGGTACCCTTCATATCTTTAAAAATCTCCACAGAGATCAGTTTATCTGGTGTAACAAAAGACTCTCCTTGTACTTCCATGCAGGATTGAGTGAGCATATTTTTTTTAACTTACTGTAAGTTTTCAGCTGTTGCTATTTTTCCAAAAGTATTCAAAAAGAGTAGATAAGTTATCATTGGTCAAATACAACTGTAAGTTCAACTGGTGAGGTATCTTTCAGTGAAGTCTGATTAGATTAATGCAGTGAACTGCACAGCCGCGGTGATGTCTTGCGGTGACTGACCTTGAAAGATCTTAGATAGCGCTGTTAGGACCTGTAGGTTGTGGCCATCAGGGAGTAAAACTTTACATCACAATCTTTCAGAAACTGACCTCCCAAGCAAGACTGCTTCAAAGAGCAACGTGATGTTTCACCTCAGATCCTTCAGTCCTCACAGGGAGCGGAGAAGCCACAGGCACAGGAGTGTGTATGTGTGTGTGTGTGTGTGTGTGTGTGTGTGTGTGTGTGTGTGTGTGCATGCTATCCGTACACATATATCTGTGATACAGTCATTTCATTCTGAAAAACTGCATAATAAAAATGAAATCTAACAGCAGACAGAGAAATGGTTCATTTCAATGTTCAAATCGTTGTAGAAATGTATTGTATCAAATGGTAACGTTAAATGAAAATGTGCCATGAAACTAACCAGATTACGTGACCTTAAGTAATATAATACAATTGGTGCTGTGAAAACACAATTAAATGAGATGTGAAAGCAACTATAAACAGTCAGGTTTTAACACAGCAACCGTCTTACCATTGCCTTTAAAACTTTTATATTGATACACTCATTGAAATTTCTAATACTGTTCATGAACGATATTCACTTATTGATATCAGAATACAAAACACTGAATTATATAAGGAAAAATACACTTTCGATTAGAAAAATACACAATATTTTTGTCCCTCAAACAGCATTTTACCTTTATAATCCCAAGCAAAGTGACTTGAGCGCTCACTGTTATTCTACCTGATAATCTGAATTCTCAGACATGAGGCATGGTTTTCATCCGCCAAATGGGGTATTCTCTGAATCCCCCAAATGACTACTAAGAACAGCAACCTACATTTAAATCCCAAGGTCTTGTCTCCCTAGTGATTTCCCCACCTACAAGCAAGACAGACATGGCTGCTGAAGGGAAGGTGAGCACGACAGTCATGTCTTCTCTCTAACAACCTGTCTGCCCTAACTGCGTTATCAGCCTGGCACTCCCCACTCCTGCTTAAACCAATGCAGCCCTACACAGAAGGGCCCAGATTGGTAGGAACAACAGGTACATAAAAACCACAGTAGGATAATCTTCCACTGTTTAACAAGCAGGAGACACATGGCCATAAATATGGATACAATAGGGAGATAGGGATGTTCAGTACTCTACTTGGCCCTCACCAGATGCAATCAGTATTTCTCATCCATCTTTCCAGTGTGTCCCATAAGAATCTCTGATAGGCACCCCTACTTCGCACTTCCTGATAAATCAGAATTCACAACTGACAACTGAGTCCTGTGTCCCCATAATCTATTCATCCTTTAGGCAAAGGTTACCAACTCCACACTGTGTTCCTACTTCGTAACATCAAAACCAACTCCTCCATTTTCTCATGCTCACATTGCACATGCCTGTCTATCTCTACCTCAACAGTCTTGAAAGCTTCAAGGGCACAGATCTTGGTCACCTCCGTCTTTTCAACCTCAGCTCCTAGCACAGAGCAGACACAATAAACTAAACTAAAACAGCACACTCACTAAAAGAGACACTGGAGCTTATGGAACAACAACAACAACAACAACAACAACAACAACAAACATGCCCAAGATCAACTCTTCTCTCAGGCCAAAAAATGTCATCCACACCCACACACGTGCATATGATAAAATCACAAGACAAATGAGCAAAGGCTTGTAGGTTCAAAATGAGGCCATTTTCCTACTAGCCGATGTCCTCAGAGTGTAAAATGTACCCTGCTGCTCTACTGTGTCTAAAGGGACATGTCCTTAGTCAGACTGACCAATTCCATGGCTGGAGAAAATCTCCTAGACGCTGACAGAGAAGCAACATCCTCACAACAAGTACATTAAAAACAGGCTGACAACGCAGCCTGAGCTCTGATTACCTGTACTGTTCACTGATGGGAATATTCTGGGAGAAGTATAAAGCCGATGTGCGCGCTCTCCAATGCCATTTCTTTGCAGGAAGGGAATAAAGGACACAGTCTTCTAACTCTTCTTGGAGCAGATCCGCCAGCTGTTTATGGGACCCTCCATAGAACGCTTCAATGATGAGAATACTCATCGGTCCTTTTAAGACTTCACAGATTCTAAATAATAAGCAAAAAAAATATTTGTTCCAACATATATATGTGTGTGTTTATAAAGATATTTTTAAATAAAAAGAAGTTACCATAGCGTACCCAAAAAGCAAATACAAGTAATTTAAAGACACTTATTTTTTTTTAAATATGCATGTCCCCCTTTTTTAAAAAGTGTATTAATGCTTAGGATTTATATTTTTGTAATCAATACCTTTACATCATTTTTGTTAATAAGAGGAAATAACGGATGCTTATTTTTCTGTTTTCCTCATGCCCTAAGATTGCTTCCACAATGACTCCGTTTTTTCTCCAACCCCAGGAAGTTTAAAGCCCTCTCCTGCTATGATCACTCACTTCCTGGTTGGAATGGCTTCGACCCTGACTCAGTAACCACAGAAGTGGTTGGCCTAGAGCTCTACTACTCTCAGACAGTCACTGAACTCATCTCCTATGACTTCCACTCCAAGAGCCCTTCATTTGTGAGGACTTTTTCAACTCAGAAATTTTCTGACTCTGTCACTCTCATATTAATTCACCTTTCAATTCACCAGCTATCACTGCCCCCAGTGAACCATATTTAACCAAAAAAAGCACATGGGGCACCTGGGAGGCTCAGTCGATTAAGCATCTGACTTGGACTCAGGTCATGATCTCGCAGTTCATGAGTTTGAGCCCCGTATCGGGCTCTGTGCTGACAGCTCCGAGCCTGGAGCCTGCTTCAGATTCTGTCTCCCTCGCTGTCTGCCCCTCCCCCACCCACACAAGGTTTCTCTCTCTTTCTCTCTCTCTCTCAAAAATAAAGAAAAGAGGAAGAAAGCACATTCATATTCACATCTCAATTCTCTAGTATTAAAAATCTTAGGATACAATTTCTTGAGACACTGCATGTATCTTGACCACTTCCCACTATCACCAATATCCCACCTGCAAAGGTAAACCAACAAAGTGGAGTAAAGCTACATGCCTATGAACCAGCAAGGCTTCTACAACCTTTCTGTAAACAACCATCCCATCAAGAGAGATAAAGTAATGTTGTTATTAAAGATAGTAAAATTTGGGGCTCCTGGGTGGCTCAGTTGGTTAAGCTTCCGACTTCAGCTCAGGTCACATTCTTGCAGTTTGTGGGTTCGAGCCCCAAACTGGGCTCTCTGCTGACAGCTCAGAGCCTGCAGCCTACTTCATATTCTATTCTGTCTCTCTCTCTCTCTCATAAATGAATAAGCATTAAATAAATAAATAATAAAACTAAAGACTTGGCAAAATTTTCATCGCAGAGTTAGCTATCAAAGCAATTTTTTGGTTTAATAAAATGACTTTTGTTAATGTGCTCAGAGAAATAAAAATATGTGTGAATGTAAAAAAAGTCCACATACATTTCAAATTATATGCTATTTCCTGTAAGAAGTAAGGAAGAAACATCACTCTGTACATAAATACTACACTGTTTAAAAAATATTCCAGGTTTTTTAATTTTCCTTTATGATTTAAGTAAACACCATTCATTAAACAGAATATTGCTTTTCTTAATAATGTTGTTCCACAAAATTATTAGTCTCAACAACTCAATGTTGCTTTTCATTAATAAAACTCTACTTCACCTTGTTCAATCAAAGCAATGCCTACTTAACATTGCATTTCAAAGCAAAAAGTCTCAGATGGTTCTCAAAGAAACAACTAGAGTGAAAAAAAGCTTAGTTCTTGATATCTGAATCTTCCATTGAGCATTTTTGGAGAAAAATATACAAGTACATATTTCAGTCATCTACAGAATAAGAAGCGGTGTTCCTCGGTGGAAAAGACATGAACCTTGCGGCCAGGGAGATACAAGTCTGAAGTTCAGCAATGTGCCTTAGAGCTGAGTGACTTGGGCAAGTTACCCAAGGCTGTAGGACTCAGTCTCGCCTTCTCTAAAATGGGAATAACAATACCAACCTCAGAGGTGTGCTGTGAAGATAAAATTGAAGCATAGTAACTAACAGACAGTAATAAGATATTTTGCCCCTCCCAGTATTAGTACAAATCATCTTACTTAAGGGGGAAAGATATCTTTGAATTCTCCTACATTTTAAAATCAGTAATTTTCAATCACGGTCACCTCTCAACCAAGGACAGTGGGAAAGGTGGATACACATAAGCATTTGAAGTACAGTGAGTGTTACTCATTCATCATCAGCAGCTTGTATTTCAAATAAGAATGTGAGAGCCCCACAGGTATTGTGGGAAGAAGTTAGCTCAGGGGCTGAGCTATGCAGAAGCTTGGTTTTTTTCAGGCCAGTTGGAGACTACGTCTAATAAATGCAATGTTCAATAAGATAAATTTAAGAAAATGGTAGTCATTAATCCTTCAAATAATGGAACCTTCTACAAAGTTAACCAAGAGAACAGTATAAGGCAATCTTGAAAATTATATCAAAGGTTCTAAGACAGACTAAAAGCAGTTAACATTAATTTGCTTACTAGATCATACCACATATATCTCTATCTAGGTTTATTTCCTCTGATTTAATCACACTAAGGTGTCTATGCCCTGTATATCCTTAAAAGGTTGTCGTAGGGGCGTGTGGGTGGCTCAGTTGGTTAAGCGTCCGACTTCAGCTCAGGTCATGATCTCGCGGTTCGTGAGTTCAAGCCCCGCATCAGGCTCTGTGCTGACAGCAGAGCCTGGAGCCTGTTTCAGATTCTGTGTCTCCCTCTCTCTCTGCCTCTCTCTCTCTCTCTCTCTCTCTCTCTCTCTCTCTCTCTCTCAAATATAAATAAACATTAAAAACAAATTTTTAAGAGATAAAGGTTATTGTAAAAATGACCTGAGATATTTCCCCAAGTGATGGAATGTGATCTAAGCCACTCCAAAGAATATTTCACTCATATAACCTCAAAGAAAGCAACATCAATATTAGAAGGGAAAAAAGGCTTTCTGTATTCTTCAGTCCTTTGCTCCTTTTCATGATTAATCTAGAGCACATATCATGCCATATATTTACAAATGTTTCTTATGGGTCTGAATCATGAGTTATCTGCAAATCATAAGCCAATGTGGAGGCAGTATGTGTAGGTGCTGCTAGAGATTCAAGACATTCAGTAAGCAGAACTGAACACCAAGCATGTGGGAGGTCGAAAAATAGAAAAGGGGAAAAAAAGATTATAGCTATAGTAGATTTCCACCCCTTTAATAGCTCAGTAAGAAGAGTGAAATGTACAGGTTTGAACTAGCATTTACTTGAGCATTTTTCTAGTGGCCAATGGGTGTGCCTGCATTTTGGGTATTTTTCTAGGGAGAGTAACTATGTCCTACCATCTCTGAAAACTATACTTAGTGGCTTTGATTCATGGAAATTTGTTCTGCTTGTTTTGTGGAGACAGACATATCCTGGCAGTTCCCCTACTTACTTCTATTGCAACTTTTGTGGCAAGAAGAAAATGTGTTCTTGCCTATAGTCTTCTTAAAGCACAACCTGGAAGAAAGATGATTCCCATTAGGTGCAAGCAAAAGAGAGGAAGCTGATTTTTAAATATAAGATTCAAACCAAATGTCATTTATAGCACATTAAAGAACAGTGCAAATACTCTTGCTGTGCTTGAGTTTTTAGAAAGCACTGCTTGAAACAAACAAGCATGAGTTTGGAAAAAAAACACACTTTGTTAAAAAGAATTTTTGCTGTGATGCTAGAATTTACTAAAAGATAAAGGGAGTACATTATTTGCTCATTTTAGCAACAGTCCCAGAAAACTGCAGGTGGTCACCCTGACAGAACAGATGCTCCCAAGCACAGGTGAACAGGTGGATACAGACATCAGGCACCACTACCAATGGCTCCTAGGGAGTGAACGCTGGGGAGCAGCATCCTCAACACTGAAAATGCTTCCTCCGAAGCAAGGAGAGGGTCTCCTTTACAGCCTGAGGCTGTGGCCAGGTGTTTGCCAAAACATGGTAGGCAAGCCTAGACACAGCCAAAGGTCTTACATAGGTGCCTGAGTGTTCATCCATCTGTTAAAGCATTATCACAAGCACCACCACAGAAGAGGAGTAAGGATATCAGAATTAGGGGTGTGGCATTTATTTCAAAGGAAAAACAACAACTAGAGAACTTCTCATGTGAGGAGCAAATACCGATCAGAAAGCCCATGTCCTTTCTGCATGACACTAGACTGTTAATATTTTATAATGTAAAGAAAAAAGTAAATGGCCAATCCATTCTTGCTCCCACAAAGAACATACAAAGTGTGTCAGATAAATTTTTATCAACTTTTAAGTTTTTCTGCTTAACCCAGTGAGCTTCCGTTAAAAAAAAAAAAAACTCATTTCTTCAGCATATTTTATTCCCCAATGATGCCAGATGAATGAGAATCTACTACACTATTAAAGCTTTATGAAAGTTTAATTCATTATCAATACTATGATTTAATGATACATGGCTAAATGCTACACATTAAATTGGCAATATAAATGAGTCAAAGTGATATCTATGACATAGGAATTTTAAACCACTTCAAATTCTATTTAAGATCACCAGAGGTCAAATGATCTATCGAAGAATTGTCTGCCTTTCTAAAAATTTATATTTACGATTAAAAGCAGACACATAGTGAAAAAAATCACAAAAATGTTTCATATGAACATTTTGACCAAAATGAAAAAGTGCCATTAGTGTCATCTCAATTAAAAACTAATAATGCATTGATAAGATCACCAAGAACAAAAGTAGCCTGAAACCAATGCTGTGAATATTTTTAAATTTTTATTAAAACTTTTTGTCACTGTACCTGCATTTATTTTAAGCTTGACCCAATTTCTTTATTCCCTGAGCCATTTTCAAGGTGAACTACATTTTAGTCTACCTCCTCTAGCAGTTACAACTGCTGCCATAGATATTTTTTTTAACAGTAGACAGAAAGGAAATTTGCAATATGCCAATGATCTATTGAAAAAGATGTGCTAAGTATAAACACATCATGTGAATTTTTAAAACAAAACCTAAATCACATTAGAAACCCATAATTAGCCTTCATATATGATGTCAATTCAGTTACTTACAATATTCAAATAATTTTCCAACCAAATACCAGGTAATAATTTTAAATCAGAGGAACTGTTGTATTAATAAATTCCACAGACACCTTACTGCTATTAGCTGTAGGAAGGTATGGTTTCAGTGATGATGGTTTTAACGGTTTGAATCCCACACACATGAGAAATCGATTCCACAGGCTAATCCACACATGGCTTGATACCTTACACTTCAATCAGTTGCTCCAAATATATTTTCTATTTGGCTATACACAATATTTTTAAAAGTTCAGTTTGGCAGAGCAGAAACCAGTGAAGTGAAACACTAAATGCCGTAAGTTGGGGAAAATAAAATTTGAGTAGGACTTCCCAATAGGTCATCAGAGGTTTACCTGGTATTTTCTTACTGACCCTGTCCCTTCTGCACCTCCACCCACCAACTCCAACACGCTGGCTTCTATTTAAAAAGCCACAATAACCCAGCAGGGTAAAATAGGGCAGTACTGAGAAAAGTTAGTATTACCTTCCAGCCCACTCACTTATTTTAATGATTCATCAGGGAAACCCCGGTTGTTAAAATGTACCTGAAATTATCTTATTATATACTAAAAAATAAGCATAAAAAGATTTCTGCTTTGAAACCTGTCACTACCAATTCCCCTAACAGAACCTAATAAGGGTGAATATATAGTAAAAATACATTTTGCTAAAAGGAGTGTCCTCAAAGTATTACACTACAATCAAGTATCATATGGAGGGGTAGAGTGGGGGGGGGGGACAGAAGTAAGCAGATCCTACAAAAAGTTATTTTTGAAAAGCTTTTCATAAAAATCAGGCATAGCAAATCCATCCTATCTCCTAGAACCTCAATGTAATCTCTGAATACTAAAAGACAATCTGGTATTAATGCAGCGTAAAAACCTTACAATCCTAAAACTGTAGGCCCTGGCAATATTCTACACAATTAAAGAAAGTTTGGCTAACAGTAAGGAATGAATCAGATTCCTGAACATTAGTGTGAATTAAAGATAATGCATGATGGAAACTGATCATTACTCCATTATTTGATAATGGGCATACAACCCAACATTTATCATAACTTGTGTACTACTGTGTGTACTTAAATAGCAGCATTAAAAATAAAAATCTTGGGTTCATGCTGAAAATGATGTCCCACTGTATTCATCCATTGTCCCACAGTGCTATGAGCGTTTCAATTTCTTCAGCTCCAACTTTAGTTTCCTGTTGTGGTCATGAAGAACTAAGGATTTATGCACCAAAACCAAGATTTGGTAAGAAGACTTACATGCCATCTTATTTGTGACACAATTTGAAGTAATTTTCAAGTGCACTTTTCCAATTTTTTCATTTGCTAGGATCTTCTATACGTACTCTTTAAACATTACAATCTGATATGCATATATGGCCATGTAATTTTCCCTAACAAATATTTTCATTCTTTCTCAATATGGGATTTTAACTTTCTGTTTAGAACTGTCAGTCACTTATTCCATGACTTGAATTAATACAAAGTCTTGGTTATAACTGTATCAAAGGCAAATTCAACAACTACTTATTCGTACTGACACTAGGACATCATTCACTTGTTTTCAAATATGCATAATTTCCACAAATAAAGAGATGTGTATATATTACAAATTCACTACCTTACATTTTTGTGAAGTTATATTCCACATTGCACAACAAAGCTGTAACTATGAAATTTTTTGTGAGATGTTTACTGGTTTAATATCACTGACAAATAAAATCCTAATCCTCTTTCAATTTTCCATTGCTATTAAGTTCACAAAACATTTCAAACTATAAAAGTAGTAATGAATTAGTTCTCCTGAATACTAAAAATATTTTCAATTTGCCGACATTTTAAAATGTGGCAGTGTATTTACGAATGAGTAGAAACTTTTACACTAGAAAATCATCTCATCGCTCATTTGAACTATTCCATTGCCCTTCTAACTAGGCCTTCATGCTGCCACATCATCTGGTTCCCATCACACCGTTCTCTGTATTCCAGCTACAGGTAATATTCCAAAATGCAAATCTGATCATGAGGTGACAGGCTAAAAAAACATCAACGTCTCTGTCACCAATGGTTAAAGTCCAAGGCCCTAAATGTGGCACTGCTCACCTTGCTTTCCTGGCCTTTCCTTTCTCTTCACCACAGCCCTGCGTCTCCCTCTCCACTGGGATCTCTCTTCCCCCACTTACCCAGACCCTGCCTTGTTGCCTTACCGAGCGCTCACACTCTCCAGTTAATTAACACTTCTGTGATTTCACACCTTTCTCCCTTTGCCATCAGACTCTTCATGTTCACCTCAGGAACTAGCCTCAAATTTCGGCTAAACTAAATCAAGCAGCGAGTATAGCAAAACACACTATATTCTCTTCCAAATACTGATTCTCTTTCTGTATTGTCATAGAAATGAGAATTTATTAGATTTCTTTTCATGTAGATATGAGTTTATCTTAATCTACTTATACAAGAGAAGTAACAATGATAAAAGAAATGGTAGAAACACCACAAGTGATTGCATTCTGGGCCAACACAAGTTTCATGGTCTAAAAGAATGAGTATCTGTGAGATCCGTGAATGTTGAAAATCACCTGCAGTTTTTTAATCTGCTTGGTCTATCATCATCTTAGTTGAATACTAGCAGTGGAAGCAGGATGAGAAGCCAATTCCCTCACCATAAATCTAGAGATCCCATTTCACAATGAGTAATTATACTTTTATTTAATGGCGAAGGGGAAAAAAAAAAGGCATTTTTAAATACTTTCTGCCATCAACTATTCATTTTATAAAAGTCTGACAAGATGAATAATGTATTTGCTTTCTCAGGATGGCATTTCTCCAAGGCTTCCACCTTCCTGAAATGGGCTGCAAATCAGTCCAGTGGGAGAAAATTAGATTATCTGACCCATTCATATATGGATACCTCAGTAGGAAAGTCAAGGTGTACCACAGAATCCTAGGTAGAAGGAATGTGGGAGCCATTGACCAATAGCTTTTCTTTTATAGAAAAAGAAATGGAGAGTATTGAGCATCACAGAGCAAGGGACAGAGCAAGGGGTTAAGTCCAGGTCTTCTGACCCCATGGTCATTTATCTTCCCCATTATACTTCATTGCAGGTATGTGGTAGGATGTAAGTAAAAGGTGCATCCATTTTCTAGTCTTTGGAGTTTGGGGATTAAAAATCAATGTTTAAGAATTATAATATGTACATGATATATATTGCAGTATTTTTTATATGTGGGTGAAATATAAATGTCAGTATAAGATGATAAATATATGTATCGCATATTATATTTAATCATAACTCCCAATAATCTGTACATCTAGGATATCAGTGCTATAAACCACACAATATGGTTATATAGAATACCATATAGTTAGAGTGATAAAACTCAAAACTTTTGTTCTAATC